TGACAAAGGTTGGAAGGAGCCTTTGGGCCCAACCCCCTGCTCAGTGCAGGACTCCAGTGTTAATGATCCTTCTCAGATGGCTGTCCAGCTGCATCTTGCATGTTTCTAGTATGGAAGAGCCAACAACCTCCCTAGGTAATTTGTTTCACTGTCATATTGCTCTAATTGTCAGGAAATTCTTCCTGATGTTCAGCCAGAGTCTGGCTTCCTGTAACTTGAACCCATTATTCCATGTCCTCTGCATTGGGCTGATCAAGAAGATCCTGGCCTTCCTCTGTATGACAGTCTTTCAAATACTTGAAGAATGCTATCATATCTCTACTCAGTCTTTTCTCAAGAGGCTAAACAAGTCCAGTTCTTTCTCCTCAAAAGGCTTAGATTCCATTTACTGGATCATCCTTGTTGCCCTTCTCTGAACTCTTTCCAGCTTGTTTCGTAAACTGTGGTGTCTCAGATTGGATGCAATAATCCAGATGAGAACTAACCAGTGTTGAATAATGAGAACTGGTCATGTGATCTGGAAATGATCTTTCTATAAATGTAGCCCAAAATAGCACTTGGCCTTTTTGCAACCACTTCACATTGCTGACTCATATGCAGTTTGTGATCTATAACAATTCCAAGATCCTTATCACTTGCAGTATTGCTGAACCCAAAATCCCCCATCTTGTAACTATGCATTTGTTTTCTTTTTCTTCGGTGCAGAACTTGGCATTTGTCCCAATTAAATTTTATTCTGTTGTTTTCAGCCCACTCCAATCTATCAAGTCCTCTTTGAATTTTTTTCTATCTTTCAGGGAATTAGCTATCCCACCCAGTTTTGTATCATCTTCAGATTTGATAAGCATTCCCTGCACTTCCTCATTCAAGTCATTAATGAAAATGTTGAAGAGCATTGGGCCCAGGACTGAACCTTGCAGTATCCCCAGTTTGAGAAGGTGCCATTCATTAGCATTCTGAGTCCAATTCTGTAGCTGTGGATCTACCTAATAGTTTTTTAATCTAGCCCACTTTTAGCTAGTTTCCTGATCAGAATGGCATTGAGCACTTTGTCAAAAGCTTCATCGAAGACAAGATATATTATGTGCACTGTATTCCTACAGTCCACCAGAGACTCAATCAAAAATGATATCAGATTTGTCTGGCAGGATTTGTTCATGACAAATTTAATGTTGGCTTCTAGTAATCACTGCATTGTTTTAAAGGTGTTTGTATACTGTCTGCTTTATAGCCTGCTCCAGAATTTCTTTGGAGATTGAAGTTGGACTGGCTGGTCTGTAATTCCCAGGTTCTTCCTTTTTGGGCTTCTAGAAGCAAAGGACAACATCTACCTTTCTCCAGCCACTTGGCACTTTACCTGTCTACCAAATTTCTCAAAGATAATAGATAGTGGTTCTGCAAGCCCTCCTGTCAGTTCCTTTATTACTATAGGATGGAGTTTAGTGTGCCCTGGAAATTTAACCCCATTCAAACTGACTAGGTGATCCTTGACCATTTGCCTATCAATCTCAAGCTGCCTTCCAGTTTCTTCAGCTTGTACTTCCCCTTCATCAGGGAATGAGAAACTGGATGTGGTTAGGAAAGACATTTGCTCAGTGCTGCTCCCTTGATGAGCTCCTACTTCCCAGGTTCCAGAGTTGAATTCTGATTTATATGCTGTAGTTTCAGTACTTAAGAATAGTCTTTTTCCCAACTTCATTTCTGTCCACTTCATGGAATGAGGGGTATCAGATATCGAAATAACCAGTTGTTCCTCAGCTGTTCATCCATAATTCCAATTTCTCCCTTAGAATGCAATTTGTAGAGGGAAGAAGGTACACAAATAAGTTGAGGATTTGGGGATGATAGTTTGGTCATTCATGTGAGCTGCACTGCATGTAGTCCACAGGTTGTCCACCAGTACTATCTGGTTTTCTTTCCCAAGTTGTTGATATTTTGGGTTCAATGACCATCACTCCCAGCCAGCCTGGCGAATGGCCAGGAGTGCTGGGAGTTGTGGTCCAAAATATATGGAGGGCACCAGCTTGGGTAAGGTTGCATTCGAACTAGAATAATCACAGCTTCTCACTCAACTAACAGCTCATTCATGCTCAGTGCAGTGTATGGTGTTTCCATTATAGTTGATTGCCATCAATTCTGAACCTTGACGCAAGTTGACTGTTGTGGTTAGCAATATTATGCTTGCTTTTTATCATGTTATGTCCTCATTATTTTTTATTATATGCTCTGTATGACACACTTTTATTTTCTGCTATGGCCCTTGGCTGATGCAGTTCTTAAATCAGTCTGGAAATCTTGCAATATGTGAAGCAGTCCAGAGAGAATTATTTACTGAGGTGCCATAAAGCTTGCATTTGTTCTTTCTTGACTTTGCTGTGCTGCAAGCCAAATCTTGTGATGCTAAGATTTGTAAGTATGAAGATAGATATTTTGGTGCTAACTAGATCTTTCTCAATTGTCCCTCCCACTCCCTTTTCTTGTCTGGAAGGAACATAAGGAGCATAAGAACTGCTGCATTAGCTCTTTGAAAATCCAGTTTTTGCCATGGTAACTTTTCAGAGGGCTAATTTTTTTCTTCTCATCTGGTCTTAGATTTGCTTGTCAGGCTTGCACAAAGCAGTTCCAGTATTCCAGGGGACCAACCCATTGACTTGAGCAAGCCAGAACTATATAATCCAAATAATATAACTTCTTTCCAAGTTATGAACTCCTGCATAATAGTTTTTGACTTCTTCTTGGAGAATAGATTTGAATTATTTTTATGTTGATAGGTTTTCCACAAGTTCTGACTGATACCATTTGGTCAAATTGTGCATTATAGCCTCTTCCTACCTGTACTACAACTTGCTGTAGTGCTAGAGATATGCCATTTCTTCTACATTTTTTATTTCTGGAGTAAAACACTTTGTGTTTATATGATTGAAAATGTCCCATTTCAGTCCACTTTAGTTGCTCACACCAAGTACTGTGTGTTTAGCCACTCAATTTCCAACTTTCCAGTTTCCAGTTTGCCTTGATTCATACTTCTCACATTCTGTGTTCCAATGGTATGTGTTGTGTAGCATCGGACGTTCCTTTTGTCTCTGTGCATAGCGGCTACCAGACTTCCTTTCAGGTTTGATCTAGTTGTGACAGCATTATTCCTACCTATCCTTTGCTGTACTCCAGAAGCTTGTTGCATGTTGATGGGGGTCTTCATCTTCTGGTACCATGTCTTGTTTCATTTTGCATTGTTTCACCACAGGGCTTTCAAGATTCAGAAGTGGTTTACCATTGCCTTCTTCTGTGAGGTATTAACCAGAGCTAGCATAAGCTAACTGCTGTTGTCTGTGAAAGATCGTCTGCCAGTGCTGCTTTCAACTACCACTGCAGTCTAGTAGAGCCCTTCAAAAGTTTCTCTACCCCCTCCTCATTAGAGATAACTGTTCTTTTCTGCTGATGTGACTGATACTCCTGAAGAGGATGGATGCATTTTAGTTTGGTGTTTCTGTTTTGACCATTCCACCTTGGGTTTCCCTGCTAGAGAACCAGCCTAGTTGGTTAGATTCTGGCTGCCTGGCAGCTTCTCAGACACACTCCCACCTCTTAACCACCTTAAGGTGTTAAGAGGTGGTAGTTGCCATAAGATGGTAGTTGCCGTATGTACTGAGTCAGAAGTGGAGAGATGAATCTCTGGAAGTAGCTGGGAAGGACCAGCCACAGAGGGTTCAAGGGCATGTCTTTAAAAAGGGGGGTTGGGTGCTGCCTACCTGAGCATCAGCCCAACTCCACTGGCGTAACTTGTATATTTCTAAAATATCTATGTGATGGGTTGGGAGTTCTCTGTACTGGTACTATAAACTTCAGTATTGGCACTTATGAAATACTTCAGCATAGATCGTATCATAGTGTTCTCTTGGACAGCCCCACTTTCAATTAGGCATCTATAAAGGAATCTTTTAGTAGACTGCGCCTCCAATCTTAGAATGCAATTGCTAAAGCAAAATGCCAAGTCGTGTTAGGAAAGATTTTGCATATGAAATTAGCCATCAGAGTCAGACATTGCATGGTATTTAATAAATCTTTTGTAAAGTGTATTCACTGGCAAAGCCTTATTAATGCAAAGCTAAGACAAACACTCCACTTAAATTTGGCATAGCTCAGAAAATTGCAGGGTTAAGCTGATTCAGAGTGCAATCCTATGAATGTTTAGACTGATTTTTTTTAACAACTCTCAGCTTTCCCCAGCCAGCATGGGAATTGCAGGACTTTTTAATGTCTAAACATGCACTGGATTGCATCTGAAGATTAGCAATCATATTTGCAACTTCATGTATCTCTTTGGAAAAAAAGAAGACAATCCACTGTTAATTTGCTTGTTGTAGCATTCCCTTTTAAAAGTATCTCATGGTACAGGGTAGAATTAAAGGGCATGGTATTAATATTAATATTTTAATCAGCTATTAATGTACAGCATGTTCTTCCCTAGCTCTTCAGAGGACCACGTGGTAACCAGGGACAGGACCTTATCAAGTTGATTTAAGCTGCTCTACCCCATTTGCCAACTGTTAACTCCTGCCACACTTAACATTGTACCAGTTTAGCATTCCAACATCATCAGGCAATACAAATAATTACTGTGCTCCCTGGTGTTTTATAAAAATCTGATTAAAATGCCATGTCTATTTATGCAAAGTGTCTCTATGAAATAGCTTTTAATTTCCCCTCTACTTTATAAGAATAGCAGCAAACAAAACAAAGGCAACCATGTTTTTCACTTATTGTGAGTCCTGATTATAATTAGGGCAGGGTGTGTGTACTTATGAAGAGAATAACATTGACTGAATCAGGTCTCCAGAGTTTCTAAATAATATGCCACAAAGTCAGGGCACTTGCAGACAAGACTTGTATTGTGGAATCACAAAATAAAATCATGCAATTAGATTTTGTGATCGGTCTCAACACAGCTGTCCTCTGATGTGTTTCTTCACCACGTCTAACTTTTTTTTCTTACTACAAAGGTTCTTCTAAGGAGGGAAGACTTTTGATTGATGGCATGAACTGTTTGGAAGCATCCCCAGAAAGAAATTTGGGAACTGTTAATTCTCTTCCTGTTTCTGATCTGAGCATCAATTGACTGCAAATAAAGAGCACTAAAGTCAATTTCGTCTCTGAATCCCAACCTACAGAAGATTCTCAGCAGGATTCAGCATTCCAAGGGAAATTCAGCTGAAAGTTGGCAATCAGTTCTGATAAACTGAAGGTGCTGTTGGTGGATGGTGAGTTTCTCTTGGGAAATAGTGCCACATATTATGGCAAGAAACCCTATGTGGTTATCATGGCCCACTTTTTTTTAACCACAGTGCATCTGACAGATGATCAGGCTCTTCATAGTAACTCTTCTCCCTACTGCCACCTTCTTCCCTCTCAGTGCTCCAGGCAGTGTCCCAGGAGAGTAATGCATCCTCCTCATCTCTGCCACTTGCCAGAAAGAAGCTCAGGTGAGCACCTGGCTGGGGATCTCTTTCTCACAATGGGAGCTAGAAAGGGGCATGAGCAGAAATCACCTGAGGCAGACAGCACCCACCCAGAGTTGGACACGCAGGTGGTTATCCCTTTTTTATGCTCATGTGAGAGAAGGACTTCCCTCAGGTAAGTGCAGGAGATGTGGCAGGGAATTGAGCTGAGTGGCACTACTCTTCTCCCACTGCCAACCAGCAGATTTTCCACTCTTGCCCTCAAGGAGATCTTGAGGGCTGGAGGTGTGCACAGGAGGGATGCCTCCAACCATTGCACAAAATGGCAGGTGCCAGTGATGATCTTTGGCTAGCCACTCTTGGCAGGAGTAGTAACAGACCACTCTTGTGAAGCAGCTTTCTTAGAAACATAGAAACAGAGCGAGTCAGAAGAGCCATCTAGTCTGACCCCTGGCTCCAGCTGGCTCCACTCATGACATGCCTACCTTGTGCATCTTCAGCCTATCCTTGAACACACTCACTGATGGGGCTTCAACCACCTCTGTGTGACACAGAAAACAGGTCTCTACCCACCTCTGTGTGACACCTCACATACCAATATGTCACCAACAGATCCCCTTGGAGTCTCTTCTTTTCCAGACTGAAAATACCCAGCTCCCTCAGTCTCGCCTCGTATGGCTTCCCCTGCAATCTGACTACCATTCTTGTGGCCCTATGCTGTACCAATTCCAACCTGGCTATATCCTTCCTGTAATGTGAGCTGAACACAATACTCCAGTTGTGGGTATATCAGAGTAGAACAGAGTGACAGTAATCCCTCTCTTGATCTAGTCTTGGTTCCATAACAAGTTATGTTTTCTGGGTTTACACATAACAACAAGCCACCATGGTACCAAGAAACTATAGAACAGATGGTGCTTTCTGTTCATGGTTTCTAGAAACCCAGTGTACCATGCTAAAATACCATGTCGTGGTTCAGATGAAATGGTATAAATCCCACCATGCCTTGGCATGTTGTGCCAACCCCCAGAGAACCCTTTGGGCTATTGGGGTGGTATATAAATGCAGTCAGTCAATCAATCAATCAATCAATCAACCCACCCAGTTTATTTCTGGTGAGCAGGGCTGCACTCTCTTGAGGATCAGGTTTGCAATACTAAACTATTAGGCAGACCCTGGATATTTGGTATGACCAGGACATGTAGTACCTGAATGGTAATTGGAATAGCTATGTCGCCTGCAGCTCCTAACTTCCTAGAGAGAAAGGAGAGAGAGAGAGATTCAGGCTGTGCTAGCATTCCATTGGGCATACTGCAGATAAGTACAAAATATGGCATTTTGATTTCTAACTGGGCATGGAATATAGAATGGATCTCATCCTTTTGAAAATACTGGTTTCTTGCCCCTTACTGGCCAAAGTCAAGTCACTGCTTTGACCATTAAGGCTGTAAACTGCTTGTGATCAGGATTTCTTAGGGCAAAGTTGGCTACCTGTGGCCCTCTGGATAGCCTTCAGCTTTTACCATGCCAGGAAAGTCAATGGTGCAGAATAGTCTGTAGTGAGTTACTTCCAAATCATCTTGAAGGCTACACTTTACCCATCTCTGCCTTAGGGACTGCTTCCTTCCACATGGATATGTGTGACTTTTCTTAAAGCTTCTCTGTGAACTTTACCCAGCTTCTGGATTGAACTGGTGGCTAAGACAAAGCTGCCTCTATTTTGGCATGCCATTTCTGCTCTCCCCAGCAAGCAGCACCAAGTACTGTCTGTTTTCTTCTTGCTTCTTGTTCATAGAGGAGTTTTCAGATGTGTTAGTCTTCCACTGATTTCTGTGTCTCTGTTTCTTTTTCCTTCTGCTGTCCTGCTTAATTGCATTTCATTGCCAATTATTATTTAAAACTATTCTTATGCCAATTACCCACAGAGTTGTATCTGCCTAGGGACCTTTAAATATAGAGATACATAAAATAACTAAAAGCAAAATAAACAAATAAACAGTGCAGCAGAATAACTACCAGGTCATAAAGGGTGAAAATGGCCACCCATACAAATCTTCCTTTCATGATTGCAGCTTTTGCAGCTACATTTGTTCAAACTTTAAGAAAAGGAAGAAAAAGGAGAGAAAAAACACCTCTCTGTGGGACTGATTGCAAGTAATTTGCTGGCTCAGACCTCGTTTTTCATATCCTTGGCATTATATGGGTAAAAAAGGCATAGCGTTTTTTGATCACTGAATGTGGTTTTCACTTACTGTCACCGCATTTTATTTATGCATGCTTTTCTGTTTCAAGATCACGCTAAGCAAAACCAAAATGTGGTTCTGCATGTTAACCCCAGGAGGTGCTTGTGCACAGTGCTCATCTAAGTAAGAAATCTCCCCTGTTAATCCCTAAAGCTGCCAGTTTACACACGTCATAAAATCTTTTTTTTCTTTTAAAAGTACAAATGAATGTACTAGTGTCCATGCGGTTTCCTAGAAATACAGAAACGTGGACAGCCTGCCCAAAGAATGGGTAACAACAAGTAAGAATTGCACTTGAGCCAGAATTTGATTTGCCATTATGTACCATTCATATTGTGAAGATGGGAATAAGCCACCTCATTGTGTGCATAAAAGACTCCCTGTCTGCCTTCACCCTTTCGCTGGCAGAATTCCATGGCAGTGATTGTGAGGTTTTTGGATTGTTGCCGGCTTACTCAATAAAATGCTGCAAAAGCTGTCACTGATGGCAGGTCAACCTCACTTGAAAAATATGCAAAGTTATATGCCAAGGTGTAGGAGGTAATTGTGACCCTTTTGTCCAGGGTGAAAAACTAAACCAAAAAAATTAAAAGAGGGAGAAAGTAACAGCACGGAATACAGCAAATCATGTATCTTTCATAACTGGGAATCTGTATTAATAAATGAACTAAAAGGCTTTGTCAGTATGAATACAGACTTGCCTCCTCACAAACCACACTGTATGATTTCAAAGATGCTATCATAGATGCTAGGAGTATCTTCTAAGGATTTCATTTACACTAAGCAGGCTTAAAATGCTGGATACCTAGACAGATTCCCCTTAAGTCGGGAAGATCATAAGCCAGCACAGATGTGTTTTTTCCATGCCAAATCCAGAAACATGAGAATCGCTCTGTGGGTTCTAAGCAAAAGACCATATAGTCCAACAATCTGTCTCCAACAGTCATCTACCAGATGTCCCTAGAAGTTCACAAGCAGGGCAGGATGACAAAAGCTACCTCCTTTTGGATAGGTCCCAGCTTCTGATAAAGAAAGGTAAATTGCCTTTCAACACAGCAATCCTATTTAGCATTTCAGAATGTTTACATCTTTCCTTCTAAGCATTGCTTAGGATTAAAGCAAAAGTCTCCTGCTCTCTTACTGATTCTTTGGTGAACAGTTCTAAGCCAAAGGTATTTATTCTTAGTCTAGAAGAAGTGTTTTTTGTCATGATCAAAAGTTGAGTGTGTGTGTGTTTTTTAATGCGTTACATCTTTTTAAACTGCTTTGTGAAATGTTATATGATTCACAAGCTATAGTACAACCATATAAACTCTGTACTGGAAATGTTTTTTCACAGGGTGACTGCCTGCTTGCCACCCTTCTGTGCACTTCACGCATTGCTTTTGCCTTCATGGCACACTTTGCAGCCATATTTAAAGACCTGGAACTCTGAAGCTGGAAAAAAAGCCTGCCCTTGATGATGCCTCTTTATGTGGAAGATTGCCTTGAGAAGAAATACAGGGAAAACTCGAAAGCTTTGCTGCTTGGGCTGTGACCTTTTATTCACAGCAAGCTTGTTCTGGTTCTGGTGTGATCCTTTGTAGCTTTGGTTCCCATCTTAGTCCTCTGGCTCTTCTCTGCCAGCTGCCTATGGCTTAGTCTTCACATTCAGAGCAGAAGTGAGTAAGAGAACCACAGAGCTTTCCCTTTTCATTACAGCAGGAGGGATTCATCTGGAGACAGGTTTTCTTGCTTCAAGTGAGGGGTTGAATGACTAAGTGCAAGGCTGCATTCACCTCGTTAATCTGAAGGAAGCCGAATTCATGTCTTAGAGGCTGGAGCAGACAGTAGGATTCTTTTTTCCCCAGAGGATTCCTGTCCATGTGATACAGACTACTTCTAGCTGTCTTCAGACATGCTGGGTCTCTGACATGCATATTGCATGCTGTGGATTTAATTGGCATCTTCCTTTCACCTTGGTGCAAAAATCCGCCTTCGTTTCAGAAGGCACAGCCTGAAAAAATGCCAGAATCAGTACTAAGAGAGACTTTGGAACTACCCCAGAGACAAATGCACCATAGAATATGCTTGCTTCTCCCGTGATTAAATTCAAAAGAGTGTTCCCTGTGTTCAAGGAAAACATGCAGATGCCTGCTGTTTGGCATGCTACCACCCAGTGCCAAACCCACACAAGCACACTTGGATTGGTCAATTAAAACCTCTGGCAGGAAATAATGATCCAGTTCCCACTGCTCAGACCAGTCCGCAGATTCAAGCGCTAGCCGAGCACTCACTATTGGCCTGGGCTGGACTTTCCTCCCTTTGCACATTCAAGACAAGAGATGATTCCTTTGTAAAAGCCCTCAACAAACCCAACAATCACCACAGACTGAATCATGGAGCATGCACGGAGTGGTTCACTGAACCCAATCTAGCAGCTTCTTCCTGGGACACTCCTTTCAAGTACGTCTGAGTAAGTCTCATCCCCATTCCTCTGGGAGGGTCCTTTTGAAAGCGAGCATGCCTTTTCTCTGTATGTCAGTTCTCTAGATGACTAGCCCTCCTCTCCCAGTGCGGAGCCGTAGGGTCAGGTGTCAGACCAGCTTCAGCTGGCTCTGAGACCTCCTCCCCCATGCTCCTGCCCCATGCCTCAGAGCTCGCCTCAGATAAGCTCCTCTGTCTCTCCCATATCACATCTGAAGCCCCACAAGCCCAGGCCCCCTCTGCCTCCTCTTCTTCATTACCTGACACAGAGTCCAGATCAGCCTGACCTGGGAGTGCGCACCACGAACAACTGCCGCTCTCATTCCCAACAACTGTGGTACAGGGGGTAAGACTTCTGGGCTGAGCTCAGCAAATCTGGGTTCTGGTCCCCACCTAGCCATGATTCTCTTTGGCCAGTCACTGACTCTCAGCCTAATTTATTTATTTATTTAAAGTATTTACATGCCATCCTGTCGCGAAAGCCTCAGGACGGCTCACGTAGATAAAATAAAATAAAATAAAATAAAATAAAATAAAATAAAATATATAAATGAAATTATTGACCCACACTGGCTGCAATAAAAACTTATGTCATGATATTGAAACTTATTAAAATATTGCTGAAATAAAAAGGTCTTAACCTGGCACTGAAAAACATATAACGACGGCTCCAGGCAGACCTCTCTGGGGAGCGCATTCCAAGGGCAGGGCACGACCACAGAGAAAGCCCTCCTCCGGGTACTTTGCCTCCTAATATCTTTCACGGAAGGTTCCCGGAGGAGGGCCTCTGCTGCCTATCTCAGAGGGTGGGAGGGCAAATATGGAAGAAGGTGTTCCTTTAGGTATCCACGACCCAAGCCATTAAGGGCTTTATAGGTAATAACCAGCACTTTGAATTGAGTCCGGACTTCGATGGGAAGCCAGTGAAGCTGGTAGAGGACTGGGGTTATATGAGAATAATGCCCAGTCCCCGTCAGCAACCTGGCTGCTCTATTTTGCACCATCTGAAGTATCTGGACTGTCCTCAAGGGCAGCCCCACGTAGAGCGCGTTACAGAAATCCAACCGGGAAGTAACCAATGCATGTGTCGCTGTCGCTAGGCAATCTTCCTCCAGGTATGGATGCAGCTGATGGATTAGCCGAAGCTGAAGGAAAGTGCTCCTCGTCACAGCAGTCACTTGAGCTTCCAAGAACAGCTCCGGGTCGAGGAGCACTCCCAAGCTGTGGACCCTGTCCTTTAGAGGGAATGCAACCCCATCCAGGGCAGGGCCCAAGTCACCTACCCAGGAGCTTAATCCACCCACCAGCAGGACTTCCGTCTTGTCTGGATTGAGTTTCAGTTTATTGGCCCTCATTCTGGTGCCTTAGCAGATTGCAACTTATGTATGAGTTGCTTGTTCTAAGATGAAAGCTGGAATTGTTCCTGCAGGAAGCATAGACCACTTGGAAGTAGCTACCAAACTGTACTTGAGCTGCAGGCACAAACTCTGAATTTTATTGGAAACCTCATGGAGAAACCTGTTTTAAACTAGCTGCTGCCAGACCAACAAGATGTAGCATTATTTCTGGGGCAGTCTGGGGAAATCAAGCCTGGAGCTGGCAAGGTTGTGGGTATGGAAATTTCTGGTGCATTTTGCAGTCTCATCCTTGAAATTAATTTCCAGCTTTTCGAATGTAAAAGATGGGAGGAAGTTTTACCCCTCTTTGCATAGAGTCTCAGCACTAACTCACCTGCCCCCCCCCACAATACTGTGTTTCATTTAGATTAGGAAAATGGCATGAGATGAGAGGAGTTAGCATCCCTTCTCCTGTTCTTCTGCTCCAGTCGGAACTGGAGCCCACACACAACTTTTCAACCCAAATAAAAAACATGGGATCCAAGCATGGCTGTCCCACACCAGGCATGTTTTGACCCTTAGTTATTTTGAATACAATTTCTGAAAATATAAATATGTACGACAAATTCAGGAGGTTCTTCTGTATTGAACATCGGGGCCCTTGTGTCTTCCCTTTAGTGTCCAAACCAGAAAGAGTTCTCCCTTATACCTTGGCAGAAAAGACATGTCTCTAAGCAGAGGGCATGCATGAGTGACAAAGATGGGACTCTTTTGCCAACTCTCCTTTTACTACTACGGGGCATGATCATCCATGCCCTGAGCTTACATAACTTACCTTGACAGAGTCCCTTTAAGCTGATACAGAAATACTGCCTTGTTTTCCGCTTTTCTGTCCAGCTATGAAAATGTCGTAAGATCCCTAGCTGCTTTTATCCTTTACTGCCTACTTTTTATAGTGTCATTTTAGATTACACTTTTCCCTCACTTTCATGAGTGAGCCAAATATTATGTTCACCATTTCAAAGTCATCAGTTATCTGAGTTTAGGTGTAAGGGAGCAGAATAAAGGTCTTCATGGTTTTATATTTCTTTCTGTCCCCACTCCCTGTCTAATACTGCTTATTGCCAGAGGGGGCAATGCAATGGTCCCTGGACAGTGAGTAGATTTACACGGAACAAGTAAGACTGGGTGGTTACCCTGATCTGTCTGGCAGATGATCATGTAATCTGGTCATTATGGTGCTTTGCTTCCTCCCAGGATGTGCAGTCATCGGCAGCCACCGTGAGCAAAGATCCCAACCTAAGAAGAATTGCTTCCTTATGCTGCAAAGTTCCCAGGGTGTTTTTCCCTCCAGCAGTAAAATTCTCCATATTTCTTTTATGCCCTGTAGCTTATTTTTTAGGTAATTTCCCATACAAAGCAGAATTTCCTGCTGGATCCCCCACATCCTCTTCCTGTGCCAGTAATCATTTCACCTTGCAATGTCCCTCACTGCATCAAAGCATTTTCACACACATCCCCTCTGATTCCTCCCTGCCTGGTAGCTTTAAAGTGGATCTCTTGAGGCATGACTTTTTGCAACACACTACACACAACAATGAGCATTTCTCTCTTTCTGTGTGCCAACAAAAATGATAGTTGGCATTTCTTGTGTCTCCGTGTCTACATGGTTTTTCCTTGCATTCTGCATTCCTGTGGTGGTACACCTTTCACCAAGTACTCACCGCCTATTACTCCTCCAGCATTCCTATCTGTTCGAGGAGATAGATACTACTTCTCTCCTCTTTGGTAGCATCCCCTAATTTGTACTGCTTTTTCAGCAGCAACATTTTCCCCACCATCAATTACCCTTAATCCTTAAAACCACCTTTCTCCCTTCCTTCTTTCCTCCCATGCCTTTTCTCAGCATGAAGGCAGATATCCTTCTTTCTCCCTCTCCAGGGAAGTTTGTCTCTTCACTGCACCCACCCGGTAGTCCCCAGCATACGTCTAATGCCCAAATTAATGGCCTTAAGTCTCCGTAGTGCTCATGGAAATGCACTTTGATCTCTATCCAGGAGAAATATTCTCAATGCCATATCTTTCCAGGTAAGGAGCAACATCTCATTTATAAGAAAGCATTTAGTTATTTTTGCAAAATATCAAAGAACATTGGATGGTTAGAAAGTTCTTCTACTTTCTAAAATACATTAATTCATATTAAACATCGATATGAAATCATATTTTTGATGTGCTCTAACCCAAAACATTGCTTCATGATTCTTAGCAACTAGAAAATAATGGGTTAAAGTCAGAATGATAATGGAACCAGTTGGAAAGAGATGGGAAAAGTGGAAAACCTGAAGAGGGAAAGCAAGCAAAGACACTTGTGACAGACTGATACAGGCAGCAGAGATTGGATGAATGGAGGGGGTCTTGACTGTTCCTGCTCTTCCATGGGACTCTGTGGTGTTGCTTTACTGCAAACTTTAAACTAGATTACCAGGTTTGGACATCATAACAAACTCTCACAGTAACAAGAAATGCAGCAACAGACCATTGTTTCTTATTGTGGATTTTGTAGACAAAATAAACCATGGAGAAAGACCATGACTGGATTCAGACAACACTTCAAGCAAATAATGATCAAGAAAAACATGGCTGTTTTTAGTATCATCTGGACCCAGTTGGTATCTATTTCAGATTCTCATATCCAAGGTCAGAGATGGTTGGGAGTGGAAAAAATAGCTGTTCTAGGTGCACATTCTCAAGGCCTGCTGGCTGGACTTCGGAGGAGGAGAAGCAGGAGGGAGAAGAGGAGTGGGGACACCTTGGAATGAGGGCAAATTCCAGATTTTGAAAGAAGCAGAGATGTTTATCTGAAGGCCAGACTCCCCAGGTGCTTCTGGGAGTAACCAAGATGAACAGTTAGTAGAAGGAGACCTGGAACAGGCTGGTTTTTCAGAGACTGACAAGGTGGGCATGGTTCTTGACCCCATGATGCATTATCAGCGGAGGGTGCATTTCAATATCTTTGTTGTTGTGGCTATGGTGACTCTCCACTATACCTTGTGCCTTGCATTTTATCTAGATGGCTCTTCAGTCATCTAGATTTAGGGCTGGTCAGGGGAAACGAAAGACAACTGTGTGTCCCCAGCCTCATTCCCTCCCTGTTCACTAGCACATTCCCATTTCCCCTACCTAGAACCCAGTTGTGATCCCTTGATGGAATGGTAGTCATGGTAGTCATGACTACCATGAATGGTAGTCATGAGTGGAAGGCACAGGGTATTGGTAGTCATGAGTGGAAGGCACAGGGTATTGGACTTTGGAGTCCAAGTCCAGGGGTCAGTGAAACTTGGTGTTCAGATAAAAAAAATCCTTTGGTCTCAGTGATCTTGGATGGCCACAGGATTGTACCTTTGGTTGTTTTGAGATCGCTTTTTGCAGTGGAAGCAAAATATGATTATAAAAAGTCTTATTAATAATTCAGTGGATAAGATGATATAAAAAGCTTAGAACATTATCTCAAAGCAACAATAAAGACAAAGAAAAAATTAAGACCCAAATAGATCATAGGACATCCCAGAAAGTATCATAAAATTACAGCAGGGACTTATGTTCTCAACATATGTGAGGGAACCTAGATTTGCATTTCAGATCCTTTTAAAAAATTGAATTAATTTTAAAGCCAAACAGTTAGAGAATGGTTAAAAGAGACAATGTATATAGACCTGCAGCAATATCCAAAGAGAAGAGGCAAAACTCATTCAAATTGTGCATAATGCTTGGATCTAAGCTATAATGTGTTTAGAGAAATATAATGTATATTGCATTTCCTGTAGCTGTGCCTTTCCAGCGCATTACTCTGCTTCCTTCATGAAACTGCGATTCCATCCAATTACTGCATATTACACTTTCAATTGCAACTAAATATTTTGCTATTCTTCAGAGGACATTTCCAACACACTATCTTCAGAAATATCAGTTCTAGTTATGCAGCAGGGGAGCGATTTTAGCTCAATTTACTAAATGCTGCTGGAGCAGATTAAGTAGGCTCTAATGGAGTTTTCCAGTATTTTTATTCTCACACTGTTTTAATTATTTATTTTGTCAAGGATTTAAGAGTTGAATGTTTATTACCAAAGTGTTCTTTGGAAGTTATTGGGACCTTTATGGATCCTAAGTGAGTAAGCTCAAAAGCCAAACCACCTAGATCAAATAGTGGATAACAATCCTGCCAGAGTTATGTACTTTTAAATGCTGTTTTCATTTAAGTTGGGGGTGGGGTGAAGCTCACTGGCAGAACATACTGCTCTGGTTGCAGGAAGTCCCAAGCAGAATCTTCTCCAGCTCCAGTTAAAATGATAAAGTCAAAGAGCTCTGCTTACGTGGGGTCCCAGTTCAGTCCATTAGGATTTTCCCAGGGGTCATTTGCCTTTTTTCTTCCTCCACCCCTTGACCCTGACTGCTGGTTATTTGGTGGATTACCAGCTTTGGAAGTTCCTTTCGCATTCTAGAAGTTTAAGTGCCTCTTCTAAATCATAGATGCTGGCAATATAAGCTTTAAGCTAACATACACTGGTATTTTTCTGATCCCCTTTGTCTTTAGCCCTACCTACTATTGGAATATGGCTCTGAGAGCATCTCCAAAAATTGAATCCAGTCCTCAGATTCACTGTGCTTGGAATAGACAATGCCAGACTGGTTAGATCTGGTAAAAAGCAGTTTCTTGCTTGATGTGAGTAAGCCCCACAGAACACTGTGCAACATGTCCAAGTGTTATAAAACAAAGGCTAATGAAGAATTTTGGTGTACTGTTACACTTGAAAGGCACACTCATTCTCTGGTTGGTATTACATAAGCTTATACACCGTGGTTTCCCCCAGTAAAGTCATGAAGACAACTAGCTATTTGACTTGCCGAGGCCATGGCTTTGGATAGTGTATAGAACGATTTTCCATGATAACCTTGGAGTCAGTTCTTTGTTATGATAAAGTAAAAGTGATTGGCATGGGATGGAATAATGTTATTAGAACTTCCCATGTGATCTTGCGGGTTCAAACATTACTGAATGGATGTAGAGCAGAGCTTTGGTGAAGGGACAACTTCATTGCTTCTGGGACAAAGAAAATCTTTGAAGTCCGTTGAAGTCTTTGTCTTTTCATTTTTAGAAAGTCAATAACATGCAAATCCTTATTGGATTGCATCTTTAAAAGAAACACACAGAAACGGATGGATGGATGGACACACACACTCACATGCACACACATGATTAGGATACATCGAAGGCCGCATGTTGCTACTGAAATGTGACCAGAGAAGAGCCATATATGAAGTACTTCCTCAGGTGTTTCCAACATGTGTAATGAAACAGTGGTAATGGGCCACTGCTTTTTTGGCCTCTTTCCTCCAGAAGTTATTCAGAGCCAACTTAAGACTTTCTTACTCATCTAAGCTTTTTAGATTCTTTGATTTCTGCTAATGCATTTCTCTGACTTTCAATGCTCATTTGCTGCCAAGTTGCTCTGCTGTTTGTATTAGTCTTCACTGATATTGTATTATTTGTAACATTTTGTAACTGATTTGGGAAGTTGTATACCTGAAAAGTGACGTTTCAAACTAATAAAAACAAAGGACATAGCCAGTTGGATTTTCTTTGTAACTTTCCTTCCTTCTTTCTTTCGGAGAAGCTATGTCATATTCCAGTTTTGGAAAGTTAGAGTGAAGAGTGAATGCATTGTGTTTCTTTAAAATACAGAGCTGTGTGGACAGGAAACATACAGGGATATGGAGAATAAGGAATTATGTGCAGAACTGGGACACCAGGGGTTACAAAGCTCAGAGAGGAAACTCAGCGGACTCTCACTGTTGTGTGAGGCTGTGCACTGGAAACCAGTTCAGATTTTTTTTTTTTTTTTTTGCCAAATTGGTCAACGTTAATAGTAGAAACATCTACCAAAGTTGAGGCATGTGGAATGTTTGTCAAAAGAACTCAGGTTGAATTTTACAGAAACTTAATTGTGGTTTGCCTGCTACATTATGCACATATAGGAATAATTTATCTATCTGCATGTTGGGATAATCATAAATCCTATTCTGGCATGCATTTCATCCATCATTATCCATAAGGAAGGAGAAATACACCAATAATATTCTGTTGCAATGCAGAACAAAGATGGATTTTCCAGAAAAGCCCCAAAAAAGATCTGTTCACAGACCTTTATTTCTAAAACCATATGGGGTTTTGCATTTAGAATCAAATAGATATGTCTAAGTGTGTTCTTCCACAAAGAAATGGGTTTACAATATAACCTGGGGTGTATCCCTATGCATGTTTAGACATTGAAGAATCGTGCAACTATCAGCACTCCCTAGCCAACATAGCTGGCTGGGGAATACTGGAAGTTGCAGGACTTTTTCTTGACAGATGTATAGAATTGCATCTTTCATCAGCAGACCCTTTAATCCAGAATCCATGATTGATTTCTAGATTTCACAGGCCGGTATCAGTCACGGTGCTATCAATTCCACTATTTTATTCATTCATGTCTACAGACCCAGGCATACTCACTAATCTGGAAAAAAATATATGTGTGAACATCTTGCAGGAGTAACAACACTGAACAGTGGGACAGTCCCACACAATAGTCCTTGTGAGTAATGTGTGAAGGGGGAATGAAAATGCAATTTTTAGTATGTCAAAAGCAATGAGGCACACACAGCGTTCATGTTTGCGATTTCAGAAGTTGCACATTCAAAGAAAATGTTGAAACTCTGCTCTCCTTCCCTCAGGTTCCTTCAGAAAAGCGAATTGTTAAAAGAGACTGTGCCGAGTACCGAAAGCTACAGCCACGAAATTACTGCCGTCACACCACTCCTACTAGATGCTGCTCATGCTGAGCTCTGCAGGGAAATGAGGCTGGACTGAGCACAGAAAGAAAAGGCAGAAAGAAAGACTAAGCAAAGTTTGCTTCAGTAGGCACAAACTGCTTTTCAACGTTCCCACACTTTGTTCTCTTACCAAGTATAGGTAATTAGATATAATACTCAAGCAATGTAGGGGTGCAAGTGAGAGAGATACAGGCTGTATGAAGGATTCAAGCTGTGAGTGCTGGAAAACACACACACACACATGCATATAAAAATGAAGGCAATAATTGCCTAATTTTCCTGTGCAAATAAGCCTTGGGGTGGGCTGGAACCAAAAAGCTGTACCAAAAGAAGAGAGCATAGTATTTATTACCATTGGTACAAGTTCATTCTCCTCATAAAGTAATTATGTAGGTATGTGGAGAAAGGAATGATATTTGGATGCCACAATGCTGATCTCTTACACTGAGCTGCTTAACAAAAGGGGTATCATACTGGAAAAAAAAAAACAGGGAAGAACCAAGGAAGCTACAGCCCGTGAGTCCTGCAAAAGTGAGATCAGATGGGAGAAACAATAACATATAATGCTGATTAATACAGGGTTCTATAACTCCTTCATTTGTTTGTTTGATTAAGGGAGACACATTTTGGAAGTGTTTATGACATGAAAGTCAGCGCACATCAATAGTTTTGGGCAGGACAATGAAGCAGAAATTAGGTGGTAAATGGCTTTTGGACTACTGATTGGAGGGGTGGATATCATTTTTGAATGTTCCCTTATGTTAAAAAATAAGC